CCTTCCTAAAATAAATATTTGAGTGTTCCTGTGTCCAATCCTCAGATCTTTGCTCTTCTCACTGCATACTCATTCCCTAGGTGATTTCCTTTATTCCCAGTGACTAATGACTTCCAAATTTATAGCTATATTTATCCCTCCTATAAACTCCAGACGTCTGTATCCAATTGTCAACTCAATGTTTCTATTTTCTCAATGTTTAGTGGGCATTTTGATACTTGATATAAATAAAACAGAACTCTTGATTCCTTCATCCCCATCCCTAGTGCTCATTTAAGTAAATTTCATCACCATTCACTCATTGTTCCTAGCAAACACTTAGGAGTTATCATTGATTCCTATCTGTCCTCCAGAGACTGGATAGCCTACATTTGCCCATCCAGATTTATTCTCTTCCCTTCTTTTTGAAAAATGCTTTTAATTAGAAATATTTTATTTGTGTTTTTTTTTATTTTTGTGAGAACACTTAACATAAGATCTACCCTCTTGACAGATTTTAAAGTGCACAATACAGTATTGTGAACTACAGGTACAATGTTGTACAGCAGATCTCTAGAGTGTCTTATTGTGTTTCCATATGAATCTGGGGTTTGGCTTTTCCACTTCTCAAAAAAAGACTTTCAGAAGTTTGATAGGGATTGCAGTGAATCTGTAGATCACTCTGGGTAGTATGGACATTTTAACAATATTAAGTCTTTCAATTCATTGACACGGAGTGTCTTTCCATTTATTTGTGTCTTCTTTAATTTCTTTCATCAATATTTTATAGTTTTCATTGTACAAGTCTTTTACCTCCTTGATTAAGTTTATTCTTAAGTATTTTATTATTTCTGATGCTACTGTAAATGGGATTGTTTTCTTAATTTCCTTTTTGAATAGTTCATTGTTAGCTACCCTGATACCAAATCGAGACAAAGACACTACAAGAAAAGAAAACTGTAGGCCAATATTCCTGATAAACATAGATGTAAAAACCCTCTACAAAAAACTAGCAAACCAAATTCAATAGCACATTAAAAGGATCATAAACCATGACCATTTGGGATTTATCCCTGGGATACAAGGACAGTTCAACATAAGCAAATCAATGTGATACACCATATTAACAGAATGAAGGATAAAAATCATATGATCATCACAATAGATGCAAAAAAAACTTTTGACAAAATTCAATGCCCTTTCATGATAAAAACTCTTAACAAACTAGGTATAGAAGGAATTTGCCTCAACATAATAAAGGCCATATATGAAAAGCCCACAGCTAACATCATACTCAACAGTGAAAAACTGAAAGCTTTTCCTCTAAGATCAGGAAAAAGGCAAGGATGCCTACTCTAGACAATTCTATTCAACATATTACTGGAACTCCTAGACACAGAAATTAGGCAAGAAAAAATAAATAAAAGGCATCAAAATTGGAAAAGAAGAAGTAAAATTATCTGTTTGCAGATGACATGATCTTATATACGGAAAACTCTAAAGACTCCAAACAAAAAAATTGTTAGAACTAACAAATTCAGTCAAGTTACAGAATGCAAAATTCTACCTTCTTTACATGACTCAGTGGGAAGTACCAGCAGGAGAGCAAAGAGAGGAGAATGAATTTGGGGAATTTATTTCCTTGGATCCCTCCCTATGCATTCACTGAGAGATGGCTAATGATAGCTCCTGTCAGGTCAGTCTCTCTACACTGCCCTTTCTGTCTCAGGTTTTTGATAACTGCTCTCTCTCCTCCCCACCTTTAGGCTTAGAGGTATTTTATCTTCCTGTTCATAGTATCCCTGAGGTCCTGTTCTTTCCCTTGTGATTTCTTTACAGCTTTCTCTCACCTTTGTAAAAAGCCCACTTATTGAATGAATAGCTTCAAATTGCCCAAGTATTTCTTGCCAGTAGACTGACTAATCCACCTCACACATTCAACTCATCAGTAAATGCTGTAATTTCCACTTTCAAATTCCAAACCTAACCAATTTTTACCAGCTGCACTATCCTCACCCTACCTTAAACCACTTTAATTTCTAACCTGGATTAGAGCAATAGTTTAGTACTTGTGCTATCTCTTCCCACTCGATTCTATTCTCCACACAGCAGCCAGTATCATCTTTGTAAAAAGCAAGTCAGATAATACCATTCCTTTGCTCACAAGCTTCTAAAGGCTTTCCTTTAGAAAAGCAATATGATGGACAACAAGGCTCTGCTTAGTTGGCCTTTGCTTCTTCCAATCCCATTGCCTGACACTCTGCCTAACGCTTACTTGCAGTGTTTCAGTCACAGTGGCCTCCTTGAAGTTTGTGAACATTCATATTGTGCTACGATTTTAGAGCATTGGTACTCAATGTCACTCTATAAGGAATGTTTTTATCCTAGATATTTGTATGCTCCATTTCTCTTTTCATTCAGCTCTCTACTTAAATGTCTTGTCATAAAGACCTTCCCTGAATGCACTATCTAAAATAATGACCTCCAGTCTATATCTACTTATACATCTTTATTTTTCTCCATACTATTCATCACTGCCGCATTTGATATATGTATTGACTTGTCTGTTGTCTCTTTTTTCCACTATATTATATACTCCTTGAGGGAAGAGATTACCACTTTTATTCACCACTGTATATCAGGACCTAGAACAGTACGTGGTACATAGAACCTCTAAATAAATTTTTGGTGAATAAATGAATAAATGAGAATGGAAATAAACCAAATAGATAGATAAATTAAAAGCAAACTTAAATGAAAAGCCAATTCATAGTCCAAGTTTACTTAATGAGAATATTAATACAATAGCATCAGGTTAAAATAACCTGATTCAGCCTCTAATACTGGAACTGTTCCTTGCAATGGGACAAAGCCAACTAATAAGACTTCCTCCCCTGGACAATGCCAGGGTCGGCATACTAGGGTTTGATGATCTAGTTTTCCTGTTTTGCGCTCCATGGCTGAACAAGACCCCTTGTTAATGAACATTATCTCTTTAAAAAAAAACTACTATGCAATATATCATACATAGAAAAGTGTATATAAATGTATATGCCAGGAAATAAATAATAAAAAGAAAACAACATAACCTATATCAACGGCAAGCTATAAATATTACTAATATATATATTTTTTTTTGTGAGGAAGATTAGCCCTGAGCTAACATCGGATGCCAATCCTCCTCTTTCTGCTGAGGAAGATTGGCCGTGGGCTAACATCCATTCCCATCTTCGTCTACTTTATATGGGACACCGCCACAGCATGGCTTGACAAGCGGTGCGTCGGTGGGTACCTCAGATCAACCTGCGAACCCCGGGCGGCCGAAGCCAGAGTGTGCGCGCTTAACCGCTATGCCACCTGGCGGCCCCTAAATATTACCAAGAATTTTTGAAGCTTCCTCTCTATCAGATTTTAACTTTCTTCTCTCCTCCAAAGGTAATAATTATCCTGAACTTTGAGTCAATATTTCCTTGCCTTTTTAAATAGTTTTATTACATATGAAAAATATAAAGATCTGCATAAAAATGAAATTATTGACTATTCTTCTTTCACTTGTGTTTTCATTCATCATTGTGTTTTTAAGATTCATCCTTGTTGATGTATTTGATATTAATTCACTAATCCTCACTTTTGTACATTATTCCATTATAGGAATATACGCTAATTTATTTACCCACGTTACTCTTGATGGGCTTTCAGGTTGCTGTGCTATTCTTTACAAATTGCTATGAATTTTATGTGTCTTTCCATTACTATTAGCCTTGGAACTATTCTCTCTCTTTAGAAGACTGTATACTCCCATGTTTAATCAATTTTGTATTGATTTTGCAATTACTCTGAGGGAAATCTTGTTTTCCTCATTCCAGCATTCTTAGTCAGCAGTGTACTGTAGCCCTTTGAAAATTTACTGTCATCACCTTAGATAATTCATTTGGAGAAGATCTGAAGTTAACACAGCAATGCCAATTAACTGCCTCTGAAGAGCTGTTTTCTTTTCCTAAATATCTCTCTAACATATTTTGGGAGATATTTAAAATATTTTGATAGTTCTATAACATCACAGAAGAATTTTTTTAAATAAAATTGTATTGGTGTTCTGTTCCCTAAGTACCTTAAATTGAACTAACTCCAAATAAATGCATAGAATCCCTAATGGGAAAAGAAAAAGGTGTGCTTCTATCTCAAATTAGTGAAGCAGCTACTCATTTCAATGTCTACTTTAAATTGACCAGTTGATTTCAGCCTTGATTACATTGAGGGACGAAATTACTCTTCTCACTAAGAAAGCCTGCCAGATGTAACAAATAAAAATACAGAACACACAGTTAAATTTGCATTTCAGATAAACAATGACTATTTTTTAGTAGAAGTATGTCTAATACAATATTTGGGATGTACTCATACTAAAAAAGAATTCATTTTTTAAAAATCTAAAATGCAATTAACTAGGCATTGTGTACTTTATCTGTCAACCCTATGCCATTTCTATCAATTAGAGCTGTTAAGGTTTCCCTCAAGCTGTTTGATTTGCTGAAGACATTTCTTGTATGTCAGGAACTCACTAGCTGTGGGGACCTTAGCAATCTTTCATTGCGTTTGCCTATTTCTTCATTTCATACCATACATTATCTTCAAGCAAAGCACTGAGAGCCTTATCATGACTGTTTTGGCTAAGGAGGATAGCTTTTGCTAATATTTCTAGAAGATTCTATTAGAATAACAATGTTTTCCAGAGTGCAACATGTTTCAACCTTGAAAAGAACAGTATGCGCAACTGCTGAAATCTGAGTAGTCTTGAAATATCGTGAGATGATAGACGAGAAGAAGTCTTTTGAACCTCACCAGCTGCCATACTTGCAACGGCCACAACCGGATATTGCCCCTCGCTCTTTGGCCTACGTCGTTGGCGTCTTGCCGCTAGGCCTACCATTTTCTTCACCACCGAGGGCAAGCCTGGTCCTTTCTCCAGGCTTGTAAGGCTTTTCCTCACTACATACTGGCTACAGCAAACATCATTCAAAATGTCTGGCAACGGGAGCAGCAGAAACGGCGGACCAGACTCAGGGAATAGAAGCCTGCGCTGTAGTCCAGAGGAGCCGTCTGGAGCGGAGGCCAGGAGGGAGACATCCTCAGATATTGAAATGAGCTTGAGATTGACCAGAGATGGTGGCGGTACAAGGGACGGTGGTGTCTCCAGCTTTGCAGGCACAGAAAGTCAAAGCACAGAGACGGAAAATTCAAGTGAAGACTTCGACTTTCAAAGGATGGAAGACATTGACCGTTTCCTCCTCAATGATGAAAACCTAGTCCATTACTGCTTAGAAGAAGAGGTGCCAGGAGAGGAAGAAGAGGGCGACGAGGAAGAAGAGGAGGAAGAGGAGGAGGAGGAAATGGCAGAAGAACAGTCTCAGGTACAGTGCAACCATGATCAGTATTTCTCAGATAAGGATCGGGCCCTGGAGAACTGGATGTCCTCAGAGACATCTGCCCTGCCCCGCCCTCGCTGGCAAGTCCTTACTGCTCTTCGAGAGCGGCAGCTGGGTTCAAGTGCCCGCTTTGTATATGAGGCATGTGGGGCAAGGGTCTTTGTGCAGCGTTTCCACCTGCAGTGTGAGCTTAAAGGCCATAATGGTTGTGTCAATACTGTGCACTTTAACCAGTGTGGCACCTGGCTGGCCAGCAGCAGTGATGACCTTAGAGTGATAGTGTGGGACTGGATGCGTCAGCAGCCAGTACTGGACTTTGAGAGTGGCCACAGAAGTAATGTCTTTCAAGCCAAGTTCCTTCCCAACTGTGGTGATCCTACCCTAGCCATGTGTGCCCGTGATGGGCAGATACGGGTGGCAGAGCTATCTGCTACACCACACTGCAAAAATACTAAGTGTGTGGCCCAGCACAGAGGAGCCTGCCACAAGTTAGCTCTGGAGCCAGACTCCCCTAAGTTCCTAACTTCAGGCGAAGATGCAGTTGTCCTCGCCATTGACCTCAGACAAGGCCAGCCCGCTTCAAAAGTGGTGGTAACAAAAGAGAAGGAGAACAAAGTGGGACTGTATACAATCCATGTGAATCCTGCCAATACTTACCAGTTCGCAGTGGGTGGACGAGATGAATATGTAAGAATTTATGACCAGAGGAGAATTGATGAGAATGAGAATAATGGAGTACTCAAGAAATTCTGTCCTCATCACCTGGTCAACTGCAAAGCATACATCACCTGCCTTGTATATAGCCACGATGGCACAGAGCTCCTGGCCAGTTACAATGATGAAGATATTTACCTCTTCAACTCCTCTCACTGTGATGGAGCCCAGTATGTTAAGAGATATAAGGGGCACAGAAATAATGCCACAATCAAAGGTGTCAGTTTCTATGGCCCCAAAAGTGAGTTTGTGGTGAGCGGTAGTGATTGCGGGCACATCTTCTTCTGGGAGAAATCATCCTGCCAGATTGTTCAGTTCATGGAGGGGGACAAGGAAGGTATCGTGAACTGTCTTGAGCCCCATCCTTACCTACCTGTGATGGCGACCGGTGGCCTAGACCATGAGGCAAAGATCTGGGCACCCACAGCTAAAACTACCACTGAGCTTCTTGGGTTAAAGAATGTGATTAAGCACAACAAGGAGGAACGAGATGAAGATAGATTGCACCACATTGACCTGTTCAACAGCCACATGCTTTGGTTCTTCATGCGTCACCTGACACAGAGAGGTCTTCAGCAGCCCCAGGGAGCTCCTGGAGTTGGGGCCATGGGTGCACACTTGGATGAGTCTTCCGATGCATCCGAGGGAGGAGAGAGTCAAGACCGTGCGCAGTTCCTGCCATCCTGAAGGCCTCATACCAGCTCCAGCTAGATGTCACCTCAGTAGGCTGGACTTGGAGTTTAAAATTCAGTTTAACGAATATATTTGCCTTGTCTGTGTTTTATCTATTATCCACAATAAAAACCATCTCTTCCATCTCCTTCCTCTACTTTCCTTCCTTCCTCACCTTCTTCCTTCCTCATTCCTTTCCTCTCAGATTTCTTTACTCCTCTGAATATATAAGAAATTTATTTATGCCTCTTTTCCTTTGTTCCTTTATAGCTGACCTCTAAAGTTTCCTAATTCTGGTGAAAAAAGTAATAGCCTTATTGATTATATCATCTCATTTCTGACACTCTGAAAACTTAGCACCTTTTTTTCATCTTTAGCAGTTTATTATAAAGTTCTCTAGTTGAGTTGAAAATTTCAGAAGTATGTTTATTCTTTAAAAGTAAGGTAAAATAAAGCAAACCATGGCCTTGTTCCTTGAATGCTGACACATGGCCATACTCACACACACACACATGCACACACACACATACACACACACACGCATGTACGCACACACACAGACTCTCACTCTCACAGAAAAGGAAAAGGGGAGAAAAGTTGGGTAGATAAATTCCTAGCAAGATAATTCATCCTTCTAGAATACATAAGTTGGGGTTGTCCACGTTTTCTGAATCCATATGTTAATATTAATTTGAGTAGATGAAGTCTGGTAAGAATTAAATTTAATTGCATGACATTGTTTACTCTGTACTTTCAATCTCTTGAAGTTTCATGGCTGAGAACTCCTACAGGATTACCTTCCAGGAAGACCTCTTGGGATAATCATCTCTTATAAGATACCTATAAGATATCTCCTATAAGATATCCTGTAAGAATTTCTAATATTTGAAAATATGTATTTGAACTAACTTTAAGAATAACTTAATGTTGCAATAAAGAGTTGTTTATACTTACAGATAACGGTTTGATGTCATTGGAAGAAATATCCTATTAGATAGCCATGCATTGCTTAAAATTCTCTTCGGCTGTTTATAAGAGATTAAATTGTTTTTAAAAATATTTTAAGTCGGGGGCCAGGCCCGGTGGCGCAGCGGTAAAGTGCACGCACTCTGCTTCGGCAGCCCGGGGTTCGCAGGTTTGGATCCCAGGCACGCACCGATGCACTGCTTGTCGAGCCACGCTATGGTGGCGTCCCATATCAAGTAGAGGAAGATGGGCACGGATGTTAGCCCAGGGCCGGTCTTCCTTAGCAAAAAGAGGAGGATTGGCATCGGATGTTAGCTCAGGGCTAGTCTTCCTCACAAAAAATAATAATAATATTTTAAGTCTTATTTAATGTAAAATTTTGGGGGGAGATGTCCATTTACTGGACATTTTTGTTTCACACCTATTATTTGTGTTAGTGAATGCAGAGGCTTGCCTTCCCACCAACACCCCTGTGAAGTATAACGCACCCTTTGCAGATATTTGCTGGGAAAGAAGGGTATAATAAAACATCTTGTGGCCTGACAAAGGTTTTCCTTTGATAATACTCCTTAAAATGCATATTATCTCTGGCCCTTAAGAGCAGGTTGAGAAATTTACATAATGAAATTAGACTTTGGCATGGAAAATAACTTGACCAAAGTTCCTGCTCACTGAGATTCAAAGTTAGAAACAACTGCCTGGGGATCTGGAGGCCTGGGGCAGCCCCTGCCAAGATCTGCTGTCAGGAAAGGTCCTTAAACGTCCCAAAGAACCCAGTGAGTCTGAACTAAGCACTGTGGTTTAAAACAGAACATAAAGACAACAGAGTTATAAACTAGAATCCCAAATTTGGGGCAATCTGCACAATTGGGTGGGATGTACACTAGAAACAACATTAACAATGAAAAAAAAACATTTGGAATTTCTAGTGACACTGGGTGGCAGTGAAAACCATGGCAAGAGTGGATTAATTATCCAGTTCTTTTTTTTGCCTGCTGTTTGGAAGCAGGTCTGCCACTGTGGGGGATTTGTACTGTGAACTAAAACTTTCTTCAGAGTTCCCTGTATGGTTCTGAGCTTGCTTGTGCTATAAGAAGCACTGGGAGAAAGATTTGGAAGGCAAAGGCAAAGTAGTAGCCATATTATATGTTCAGAAAGCAGGGGCAGGGGCACATCGTTACCTATCTGCCGGCTTACTTTAGTGCAAGGCAGCAGCTGGGCCCACAGCTACACCACTTCCCCCTGATATCTTCCTTCAGGTATGCCAGCTCCATGAAAAAGAGTGCCCACTTCTCCTGCAGGGCACTCAGGTCCTCAAAGTTGGAGGTTTGGAAGCAGTGAAAGATCAACACGGGTTCCAGTCTGTTCTTTTGGGTTCGTCGTGGATTCCAGTCTATCCTTGCTTCCCCCATTTCACATCCATGTCTCCTTCCCGAATGCTGTGCTGACTTCAGACTCCAGCACCTGAAGCAATGACAGAAGCCTTATGAAGACTGCTTAACTGGCTCCCACAACTGCATACGATCAGGTTCCTATTATAAGTCACCTGTTATATGTATATCACCCCCAGTGTTTCTCTTTCTCTGTTTGAACCCTGACTGATGCAAGCACCCCCACCTGCTTTGGACTGAGTAAGTGTCCAGATTATTTGGAGAATTTGCCATTTGGAAGAGTAAAAGTCCTTTAAGGGGAAATATTGGACTTGATTAAGATAGCTAGATAGACAGATAGATAGGGAGCCAAATAATTAATTTGAAAAATAAAGTTATGATTATAGGTGAAAAATCAAGCTGGTAAAGTAGGTCCCAGAAAATGGAAGTAACTGTTACAATTTTAATTTATGCAAATATTGGTCCTATTTGCATATAGAAGAAAGCAATACTATATCACTACCAGCCTTCCATGAGATGGCGGGCAAAGCTAACAATTCTATCAAATAAGCAGGCAAAACTTCACCTTTAAATTTAATTTTTCAACACCAATTATTTTCATTCCAATATGGAATTTCTACAGGACAATTCTGTGTAGGCCCTCATGGCCTTTATGCAATATTATAATTGTCTCCTAATTATGCACAGAATTTAACTGCATAAAGTTGTGACAGATGCCAAACTATACTTTTAAAAATACATCTTCTGGCAGCCATTCCTTAAGAGGACAGGTGTGGAAAAGAATAGAGATGGAAAAAAGTGTACTGGGGCCTAATTGATAAATGGCAAGCCAAAAAAGTTTTGGTGAGTTCTGTTAGTGCAACAGCAACCTTCAGCAGTGCCCATTCTACCATGTGAACCAAAGCATAATGCAATACATTTATGATAGATTGGGTTTTAGCCATTCTGTGATCAACTTCTATGAACTTCACTATCATCATTTACCTGGACTTCAGTCTCTTCAACAGGAGAATGAGAGGTTCAGATTTTTAGATTTAGTTCTCAGAGCCATATGGAGCACTTATTATATATTTCTTTACTGGAGAGTGAGAGTTCAGAGATGAATGTATGACAGTCCAGGTTCACAAGGAACTTAGTATGCTAGTTTCAAGCTGTGTTCTGGGGAGAGCTAGGGGTTTTGGATGTTTTTAGTGGGAAGGGGTTGGGAAGTTTCCTATCTTGCTGCTTTATTCAAAGTGCAATGTTTATTTTTCTTTCTTAGCTTTGGTAGCCTCTTTATCTCTAACCCCATGATATGAGCAACCATCTATGGAAATTAGAGATACATATCTACTATCAAGTATATTCAAGTGTAATTTGTCAGTTATTCTTCGTAAAAACCGTATTTAAGTGGCGGGCAGGAAGCTTAAGTTCAGAGAAGTTAACTTTCCAAAGTCATAGAGCTAAGAAGGTACAGAGTAGCAGCTCCAATAGAATTTACAGCTAAATTAATCTAAAAAATAGTGGTGCATAGCATCATTGTTTTGGTGCATGGCGATTTTGTTTAGTTGACAAAAGAAATTAAGAACCCACATCTCAAGATTCTTTCATGACATTTATGACTCACCTTTCATCTATTAAGGTGGCCATAGTCTCACCTTGGATTTCTGTCAGCTGTATGGCAGCCATGTTAGCAACTCAAGTCCCTGAAATTGAATGGTAGGCCTCTGAGGAGAACAACAATGAACCAAAGAAAAACAAACAATAAAATACCAAATATAAAAACAGTACATTCTGGGGTAGGGACAGTACTTCTAGCTTCACATTGATCTGGATGACATTAGCTGGAAAGGTTGTTGCTTATGAATCTCTGTCTAGAATAAAATTCAAATCACAGCTGAGCCTGAGTGATTGGTTCTTTTGATTACTCTGCTAGAAAGCTATAATGACTCAGATATTCTAGGGACTACCTTCCTCAGCTGACAGGTATGACCAACACTGTGAGGGACTGAGGCCCATGATAGGTAACCAATTAGATCTTGGATCATATAGAGAAGCCTCTCATTTCTACAGTGAGTTGCTCTCTAAGCAAGAGACAAGATTTGGGCCTTAGGTGTTATCCTCTTAAGACTAGTAATTGGTAATTGATAGTCACACTCACGATTTTTTGTTTTTCCTGAGGAAGATTCCCCTTCAGCTAATATCTGTTGTCAATCTTCCTCTTTTTGCTTGAGGAAGATTTGCCCTGAGCTAACATCTGTGCTAATCTTCCTCTATTTTGTGTGTGGGTCACCACCACAGCATGGCCACCGATGAGTGGTGTAGGTCCGTGCCCGGGAACTGAACCTGGGCTGCCGAAGCAGAACATGCCAAACTTAATCACTAGGCCATGGGGCCGGCCTCCTCATGAATATTTTTTTAAAAGCTTGCAATTATGAATTCTCAGTGAGTAAGAGTATCTGTAAAATTTTTAAAATGTTTTTAGAAATATGAAAATAAACTTACCTTAACATCATAAGATAGAACCAGATATTTGTAGGGACAGATTTTGTTCCACATGCTTTCTCATAGTAATTCCCTCTCAAAAAATAATATATCTCTGTAGAATTTTAGGGTGGTGGAA